ACTTGTGAATAGCCAAGTACTCCGGGGCAGAAACCCTCTGATGACCAGTCCTGAATAATAGCAATGAAAATAATAATAATAAGAAGAATGGTAAGAATAATAAAAATAACAAACTATTTAACGAACAAATTATTTACTCATATTTGAATAATTAAATTTCAGGCTTTTGAAATTAGATGGAAGAAGGAAAGAGATGTCTTACTTCAACTTCTATGGATGAGTCTGTAGCACCTTAACGAACGAAGTAACTAATTTTTGCTGAAAATTTCTGTGGCTACGTATCTATCAATTTTAAATTGAAAAGAGCAAATAAATAAAAGATGTTATTAATCACCAAAGTAATAATGTAATTAATTAATTAAATAATTAATTATTTAATTAACGATTAACGATAATTTCTAACAAAACTAATTCCTCCTTTCCATAATACAAACTCCACGTTTAAAACTTCCATCCAAATTCGTCCTATTTATATTCATCCATACAATCTCGTATATATATATATCTATATATAATAAGTATAATATATATATATATATATATATATATGTAAGTATAATAATGAATAAGTATTGCTTTGGCCTAAATGCATATAGGCCTATATGAGTATATATATATATATATATACACACAATTTGTTGATACATATACATACATGTAGATATAAGTAGATATATATATATATATATATATATATATATTTATTTATATATATATTTATATATGTCTATATCTATATATCTATGTATATCATACGCAAAACTACTTCGGATAACCACTACCGTATAATATATCACATACATATGTTTATGTTTTGTATTTTATTGTTTTGTGATGTTTTGCTTTTTGTATACTATAGTATAGTATTATATAGTATTATATTGCATTGTTGTATAGTATTTTATAATATTGTATTACATCGTATTGTAATCATCTTTTTTTACAAATGTATATCTAAATATATAGATATATATATATATTGTATGCGTATATATCTGTAACATGTATACATATTTAATTTACAACTATTTATACTAATATAAACATATATATATATATATATGTATGTTTGAACACAAGTGTATGTATGTGTATATATTATATATATATATATATATTTATGTATCTATATGTATGTATGTATGTATATATATATATATGCATTTATATAGCGCACAACGCAATCATCCCTGTGCTTCATTTTATAAACGAGCAATGAGGGAATGTACCATGATGATACCATAAGAGGCAATTATCTCTTATATGTGTTATATAAACAAATATACTAGTATATATATACTAGTAAATGTAAATATAGCCTTATTAATAAATAAGTAATTAGAATTAGTTCAAAATATATATACTAGTATAATATATACTAGTATAATTATATATAATATATACAAGTATATATATATATATATATATATATATATGTTGGTAATAGACCATAATTTCTACAATATTCTATAAATTCTACCGAATGTTTGGCGTTAATATGTTTGTAGTTCGTTTTTCGATTTTTCTCACTAAAGCTTTTTGGTGAACGTTTAGTTTATTAAAATTCAAAATAAACTTATTTTTCGAATTCATGCTGCAAATAAGGCCATATTTCGATGGTGCTATCAAATCTCATTTGGACTCAACACACTCAATCACAATTAGCCGTGAAATCCTCGACAGCAACACCAAAGTAATATACCAGAACAGCAACTACACGCATCTTAAAATTGCAGAAGCAGTCCTAATTGACATCAACAAACCAAAAATAAATATACAACAAAAAATGACAACCTCACTTAACCAACAACGAAAATAAAGAAGTAATAAAAACTAGCATTGTAAATAGTGACAAAGAAGAATATGATGCTATCGATGAAGAAAAGGAGACCAAAGAAGACGACCAGCCAATAAAGAAACCTGACACCTAATTCGCATCAAAGTTCAATTTTACAACACCAAAGTTAATTTTTACAACGTCAAAGTTCATCTTGACAAAGTCAATATTTCCCTATATATACAGCAAGGAGCACTGATGATGATTCATTCGGAATCGAAATAGGACCTTATTTGCAGCATGAATTTGAAAAATAAGTTTATTTTGAATTTTAGTAAACTAAACATTCACCAAAAAACTTTAGTGAGAAAAATCGAAAAAATGAACTACAAACATATTAACGCCAAACATTCGGTAGAATTTATAGAATATTGTAAAAATATATATGTATATATATATATATATATATATATATATATATACATCATATATAAATGTTTATGTTTTGTATTTTATATTTTCACACGTATTATATATATATATATATATTCTAGGCATTGTTAAATGTAAAATTTTTAATTTTTTCTCTCTGTTTTTTTTCTCTGTTTTTTCTATGCACTTTCGATTTTCAAAAGTGAGAGTGATGGAAATTTTGGAAAAAATTAAAGAAAGAGAGAAAGGGGAGGGGAGAGAATGAAGTTTTACATTGTATGCAGAGATGCTTAAATTGTGATAGTTATCCGCTGGCAATTTTGCATGCGTACTTACAATTAAGGACTGTGGCACTTACAATTAAGTACTATGGTACCTACAATTAAGTACTCTTGCACCTACAATTAAGTACAGTGGCACTTACAATAAAATACTGGGGCACTTGCTATTAATGTTTTTCTTTTGTATTGTGTATCAGATATCTCGATCTCAATTTACGGATGAAAAAAATCTTTTTTCTGAAGCAAAAGTAAAAATGTATCAGAGGTTTCTAAGAAAAAAAATTTTGTATAATATAATACGCGTTTAACAATGAATAATTTTTGACTTTTATACGTGATTTTTTAATGAATAAAAAAGGACATAAATTTAAATTTGATGACACACAAAGAAAGCTCTTCTTAAGAAGTTTTTTTTTCTCTTCCAATGAAATGCCTACATCCCATATAAAAATTGTGAAAAGAAAGTTGATGTTTTTAAAAATGTTTCTGGTAAAATTTATATGTGCACGATGTTTCGTTCTCTCTCATAAAAATATTTATTTTTTGGTTCTAAAAAAAAACTTGTTAGTAGGCGTAGATAAAATTATATTTAAAATTTTAAGTCAGAAAAACTCCCAGAATTGGGAAAAAACATAAAATGACGAATGGGCTTTACGTGACAGCAGCCTGGTCTGGTCTTCAAAAAATTAACAGACAGCCGTCAACAAATTTCTACAGCTAAAAAATTCGACAAACATCAAACATCCCAATCTATAGCAGCCTGGTGCAAATCGAGCACATTTCTATACAACACACCATCCTTACACCATTGAAAAACATTCGAAACACCTACTAAAATGGGAATAATTACACACGTATACATACATGTATGCTAAATACACATTCAAACAAAGACACACTTCTATCTACACGTGTATATATTATAGATTCATGCTTTATACTATCCATTTATACTTTATATAGACATGCATATTCAAACGAACACACACATACGCTCACACAGACGTACACACATATATTGAGATACACACAAAAGAACTAACTGTACAAATACTGTACTCATAGGCATACATTCATGCATACACACACAAGCTTCTATCGATTGATGCCAAAATAAGTGACGACGACGACGACGATGATTGAGATCATGCTGATGATGTTAACATTAATTAAAATATATTTGTGTGTACGTGTGTTTGTTTGTTTGCGAATGTGTCTGTGTGTGTGTACGCGTATATATAAGATGTCATCAGTATTGTACACAAGTACACTTTAATGTACGTGCGAATACACAATTACGTGCGTACACTGGGATGCAACGTTCGTACAAGCGGTTTGCAATGCCGTTGCGTTCATTCATTTCACTTCTCCAGTGTACATACGCAATATAGGAGGCTCACATTAACGTACGCACATGTAACATGTATGTATACTCGCTATAATCTACGTTCATGCGTATCATATATATTATTTATTTATACGTATATTTGTATACGTCAGTTATGTGGGGTATAGGTTGTATTGGTAGGTATTGCAGAGGTTTTTTTTTCTTCATGTTCTGATGTTTCGCGAGATGTCTGTAGATGACGTGTCGGACGCATTCCATGTTGTCAATTAATGTTGAGTGTGTGTGATGTTTGTTGGCTGTTGTTGTCCTACTTCGTGTTACATCGCTTTGGAATTAACCGAGCCAAGTTGTAATGTTATAAAAATTCAAAGTAGAAATATCAATAAACGTTGTGAACATTTAGTAATCAATAGAAAACCAATCATATTGTCGATCATTTGCTGTTAGTTTTTAAAAATTAGAAAAAATTGTCGTTACTGGCAACTTAATTTGAAAGAAGTAATAACTTCCAACCAAAAATGAACATCAACAAACTGATCTACGGGCCAAACGTGGCAGGGCAAAGTTTGGTTGACCGTGTCATGGCTGCCAAGCACAGCCTGGCTGGTCAGGGTTTGGCCAAATCGGTCTGCAAGGCGACCACCGAAGAGGTCATAGCCCCTAAAAAAAAACATGTCGATTGTTAGTTCAAGTTTTTTTTTCAATTTATAGAACAAAACGTGTAGATTGTTGATTACTGTCCTGTCTTTATTTATATGGCTGTGTGTTTAATTGGAATTTTCATTCGTATACTTTAATTTAATTTTTCGATGAATTCACGGATGTTTATAAATATATTTCTCAGTCTTGTGGTCTTTCTAATTCATGTAAAATTCAATTTTGCGAATTATACATTTATAAATAATTAAAAATAATAATTAATATAAATTATATTTATAAAACTGAAAAATAATCTTCAACACCAACAGATCTGATCCAATGCACGCATGAGCCTAACGTATCGATTCCGCAGTTGGCCGGTCTGCTCTTAGAAAGAAGTCAAAATTTCAGTTGGGTGTCTGTATTCAAGGCACTCCTCACCACCCACAGCCTTATGAATCATGGAAATGAGGTCTATCTCTCTCTCTCTCTCTCTCTCTCTTTTCTCTCTCTAACTGATTTTTTTCTTCTCTGCTTTTCTCTACTCTGTAACTTCTTCCTTTCTATCTCTCCTCCATCTTTTTTCTTTGTTGTTTTTTTCTCTCTCTCTCTCTTTTCTATATTCATTTCTTTTTTTTCTCTTTCACATTTTTGTTTTTTATTTCCTCTAGCACATTCAATCATTCATTCAATCAATCATTCATTCATTCATTCATTCAAAGTTTTAAAGAAAATAAATTTCAATTTGATCTCACGAATTTAATTAAAATTACCCGAACTCCAGTCACACAAAACCAAACTACCATTCAACGCCATCCATGCCATGGACTTTCTCTACCCTGTCATCAATGTCATCTCAATTGCCAGAAATTCACGCAGTACCTGGCGTCAAACAACTGCAGTTTCAAGTTGGAGAACTTCACTGACAAGACCTCACCACAGGGGTACGACATGTCACCCTACATTCGCAGGTTAGGGTAAACAAATTAAAAATATAGAGGGGCATAGCCAAGACATGGTGAAAATTTTGGGGCTAAATCCACACCCATAATGAAAAACTTTATTTGTGGATATAGAATTCAAAATAAAGAGAAACATATCCAGAAGAACTGTTAAACGAAAAAAATTTTTTATAAAAATTTGTCTGAAAGCTGTTTCAATCATCTTTGCAATTGTAACATTCAGGCCATTTTCTTTAAAAAAAAACTGTTTTCATGTGAAAAATTGTAAAAATATGAATAATAAACCACTGAATACAAAATATTTTTTAAATTATAAACTCTTCAAGTAATTTTAAAACATAACAAAGAGCAAATTTGATGTTTTTTTTCCAAAATTATAATTGAACAAACGACAGGTACGCAAAATATATAAACGAGAAGGCTGTCTCGTACAGACTGATGGCTTTTGACTTCTGCAAAGTTAAGAAAGGGTCAGTTACATGATGACGTAAAAGCATTTCATGACAATTTTTACAATCAAAGAAGTAAAATAATTGATAAATATAAAGAAATATTTTAAAAATTATGGTTTAGAATGATTTGTAAAACCATTTTTCATTAATTTTTAATTTTTTCTCTATCCCAGCAAAGATGACGGCGTTCTAAGAATAATGGATTCAGAGAAGGTACGCATTAAATACATTGAAACTATACACATGCACTATAAGCACAAAACTATGGACAATTTAGTGGCTCGGTGGGAAGAACCGCCACATTTCGCGTTCTTATTGCGAGTTTAAACATCTTATGCTGCTTGGACGTGCATACGAATTTGTCTAAAATTCATATTTGGACTATCTCCTGTGCAATTATCAATGAAAGTCATCGCATTTTTAGCTTTTTTAACTTTACAAAATCAAGTTTTTCAAATTTTCTAAAATTTTGTCCTAGTTGTGTTTTTGTATGTAACAGATAAAAAGACTCATTATAGACAGTCATTTATTTATTCACATCACTAGAGTTCGTTTAATATATTATTTAAAATTATTAACAAAATGACGCCAGCTTTTGAAGGCACTGCCAGTTCTGCAATCTCAAGTTGATGCCCTCTTGGAATTCGAGGTTTTCTTCATTTTGTTGAATGAAATATCGGATGAAGTGTTTTGTTACGTTAATCAAATAAATTAACCCATTTTGTCATTGATTATAATTACATTAATGAATTTATTTTTTGAAAATTTGTCCTTATCCACACTAAACTGACAAATTATCCTAGTTAGTCAATTAATCAATCATTAAATCAATCGCCTATTATTCATTCATTCAATCAATCAATCGATTGAGCGATCAATCATTCAATTAACCAACCAATTAACCGACCAACTAGTTATTCAGCCAACCAGCTAGCCAACTAACCAATCAACCAACCAATCAGGTCACTCAGAGTGAACTGAACAATCCAGTGATCTTCGCATCTTTCATGATGCTTTTTAAGGACCTCATCCGTCTACTGGCTTGCTATAATGACGCCATCATCAATTTACTCGGTATGATGATGAGGACGATGAAGCTGCTGCTGCTTCTGATGATGATAATGATGATGATATTGTTGTTGTTGATGATGATGAGGAGGAGAACAATGAGGTTGGTGGTAATAATGATAATAATAATGATTATGATGATGACGACGACGACGATGATGATTGTGATGATGTGGTTGTTGTTATGGTGATATGCTGTTTTCACGGTAACATGTGTTAAGAAGATGATGTGTAATTGCGGACATGGCGGGATGACCGTGGCATCGTTTCTGAGGATAATGTGATATCGTCGTCATCTCACTTAGCGTCATCATCATTTTCATCTTCATTGTCATTATTATTATTATTATTATCATCATTATTATTATTATTATTATTATTATTATTATTATTATCGCCATCATCACCAACATCATTAGCGAAATTCTTCGATATGAACAAGAAGCAGTGTAAGGAATCGTTGGATATGTACAAAAAGTTCGTCACCAGGATGGAGGGAGTTGGAAAGTTCTTCAAAGTTGCCGAGGTTTTAATGATGATGATGATGGTGACGACGATGGTGTAGTTGTTGCCTCTGATGGTTATAACGTGTGTAACATTTCAAATACATCCCATCATGTCACACTTTGTTTATTCTCATATCACATCACAGCACATATTATGACGTTGGTGTATTTATATATGCGTGTGTTTGGAGGTGTGCATATCTATCTATCTATGTGTTTAAGTATGTGTGTGTGTGAGGGGGGGGAGGGGTATGTGTGTGTGTGTGGGGGGGGTATGTGTGTGTGTGTGTGTGTGTGTGCGTGTGTGTGTGAATAAGTACGCCATCATTCCTAGGGAGTTGGCATTGAAAAAGGAGATATACCTGATCTTGCTCAGGTAAGAATAATTATAAGTATTTATAATTATTATTTATTTTAGTTATAATTATTTTTATTTACAATATTACATCTATCTAATTTGAGTTATCTTTGTGGCTTATACATCCATAGAATTTGAGATACTATGTCGGATTCATCTAATTTGAAATACCATAACAGACCCCTTCAGTTTGAGATATGATTACGCAACAGTCTAATTTAAGATAGGAGTTAAACATCATTCTAATTTGAGATATCATTAGACATCTACTTAATTTCTATCACATATCTATCTAATTTCTATCAAATATCTATCTAATTTCTATCAAATATCTGTCTAATTTGATCTACCCTTTAGGCACCTTCAACTTTACTGGATGCTCTCGAAACGCACATGAAATCTCTAGAGGGTTCCAAAAAAGGTACACTTTAATATTTTAGTGAAACTAGATTAGTTTTATAAAACTTTTGATTTACTTTTGAAATTAGTTTCATGTTGAATTTGTTTGATAGATGACATGTTTTCAGTTTTTTGAAATAAAATGATAGTTCAACTGAATTAGTGAGCAAAGTTTGGGTGGGTAGCAACCTTCAAAATGACGAAAACAATTTTCAAACATGAAACGTAACTCAAAATAGAAAACCAAAACCATTTTAAATATATACATTTACTATTCAATTCATCTATTTTATAGTGTAATAGTTAAAGTGTCTGTCACTGATGTTGCAATGCCTGGATTCGATTGCATGGTGATCCTCGCCTATCACATGCAATGTGTGTGATGCATGTGAATTCATAAATATTCACACGCACTGTGTGTGTTTGTTGCTGACGCCTCTGTAAATTACTAAGGAGAGAGAGAGAGAGTTGAAATAAAATGGAAACAATTTGAAAGGTCTTTCAAAGTCCCAGGCAGTGGTCAACTCGGCGATCACGGACCTGTCCAACGCAGCCAACAAATCAGTTAACAGAGGGGACAGTAACGATGGGCAAATGGCTGCTTCTGCTAATTTGGATGAATTTTCGGTTTGTTGTTGATGATGAGGATTATAGTGATGATGATGACATTGTTGTTGATGAAAGTGATGATGATGACGAAAATGATGGTGATGATGATGACGTTGTTGTTGATGATAGTGATGATGATGACGAAAATGATATTGATGATGATGACCAACAAAAACAATTTCATTCGTGCACTCATTCATATCAGTCGGTAAAAGTAACTTCAAACAATCCATTTGCATCGTTTGGCGGGGATGATGACAACGATGATGACGATGATAACATGGGTGGTGGTGGTGGTGATGGTGGCGCAGTCGAGGGAACCTCAGATGAAGGGGCCGCCGCCAAAAACCCTTTCCTTATAGGAGACTTCAGTGGTGTGGTTGATGATGGGGATGATCCTTGGGAAAACTCAACAACGCATGGTTGGTTGGTTGGCTGGCTGGATGGCTGGCTGGCTGGCTGGCTGGCTGGTTGATTCGATGAATAATTGAATAAATGAATGAATGAATCAATTAATTAATTAATAAAGGAAAGAATGAATGAATTAATTAATTTTACAAAGAATCTACGGGCGGAGCGATCAACAATGACGAATTTGCCGCGGCTTTCGACGCTGCTTTCGACAATAACACAGCACAGGGTGATTCTATTAGTATTCATTAGGAGTAACTTAACATAAATTATGAATAAATTAACATTAATTATATAAATTCAAACATTGAAACAATTATTTTAATCAATATTAAAATGCGTGTATACATAATTGTGAAAAATAAAAGAACATACAGATTACCCGATTGATGATGGTAATGATGCTTACAATGTCGGCGATGATAATGATGTAGGTGGTGTTGGTGGTGGTGATGATGGTGATGATAACACACAGTTCAATGTCCAGTATGTATTTTGTTGATTACGTCATTACTAATAATTTTGTCACAATTGAAATTCTACATAAATCATTTAATAAACATACCCATCAATCAGTTCAATCAATTCAATCGATCGATCAATCAATCAATTAGTTTATAAAGCGCTTTTTCAGCGATGTTCAACAGCGCTCCTCAATGAATTTTGTAAACAGATGGGTCTTGAGATCCGCTCTGAACTTCGTAAGTGATGGAGAAGTAGTCAGAAAAGGAGGCAGAGAGTTCCAGAGAAAGGGGTCAGAAAAAGTAAATGCAAATTTAGCAAAAGAGTGTTTAACACGAGTTAAGAAGAAATGAGAACAAGAAGACGATCGTAAACCGGGGCTTTGGGTTCAGTTAAAATATTTGATAAGTATTTCGGAAAGAATTTAGATTGAGACTTATACATTAAGTGCAAATTTTTTTAATTATTCTATATTTTATAGGTAGCCAGTGCAAGAGAACAAGATATGGAGATATATGAGAAAAGAAAGGGGCACGAGCAACTAGACGAGAAGCAGAGTTAAAAGCTTTACTTGAAGGATAGAGTGTAGAATCAGGAAGACCATAGTAGAGCGAGTTGCAATAATCAATCCTAGTTAAGTCTAAAGAAGTAAAAAGAAGGAGAAGAGTAGGATTGTCAAGAAAGGGCAAAAGTTTTTTTTAGTGTACGTTGATGAAAGTATAAACTTCTAGCAAATTATTAATCTGAAAAGAAAGAGACATGCAAGATTCAAAGATAAAGCCTAGACTACGAAACTTGTGAGAACATCAGGTGTTTTAGAATGGGGTAAGATAATAGAATGTATAATAATAGAGTGTTTAGATTGTACACTCACATACACATAAGTACATGCATGCATGCATATACGTATACATACATACAGACACGCACACACACACACACACACATATATATATATATATATATTATATATACATATATATATATATACACACACACACACACACGCACAATACATTGCATGCACACATACAAAACAATTTTTAGAGGCGAAACGACTGCAGATGACAACTTGGTGGATGACATAACAGATCAAGTATTTGGATGAAAATGAATGATAAATTTTATATTTTTTATATTTAATATTGTTATTAATTTTAATATTTTTTCTCATTTTTAATAATTTTTAAATTTTACGTTACGAATTTTAATTTCAGACGCAGAATCTTGACATAGATCCCTTCGCTGATCTGCTAAGTAACAAATGAAGACTATTTTAACAGAAAAACAAATCATTTAATGTTAAAATAAATTAAGTTAAATTAATTACTATATGTAAATGTGTGTGTCTGTTTGTATGCCTGTGTGTGAGTATGTGTGTGGCGTATATTTGTGTGTGAGCGTGTTATCTCAATAGTTAAACTAGTCTAAATTGATGTTATAAGCTGACTTTCTATATATTAGAAATTTTACAGATGTTATTGTAATTATTATTGTTGATATTATCGAAATTACAATTATTATAATTATATTATTGTTATATTATTATTATTATTGTAGATATTTCTTTTATTATTTATATAAGGACATATTCCGTTATGTTGTTGGTAGTGTGGTGACTAATTTGCAAACTCAAGTACTTTCATTCATATTGTTTTTTTTATTTATATATTTCGTTTGTTATCTGTACTATAAATATATAAAATGATGAATATTACGATAGTATAACACACACACATATACATACACACCCACCCACACACACACACACACACACACACACACACACACACTCAGACAGACAAACGTGTATATGTATATAATATATGTATATATATATATATAACCTGTATACGCCAGACATCATAAATTCATCACCATTTTATCACCTAGTTTTGCATGTTAACATAAAAATCGTGTCCTAGCTTTTTTAGTATTTACATATTAATATTATTTTTTTATCAAGTTATTGTTATTATTATTATTGTTGTTGCTATTATTATTATTGTTATTCATTATTTTTATTACTATTTTTCAATGGTATATGAGTTGAGAAAAACGGCAAGATAGAAGTAAAGGTGGTAAAATCTTATCTCATATTAAAATTTAATATTAAATTATAAATAGTATAGCTGTTTATCTACCTACACTTATTATTATTCATATTATTATTTATTATTATTGCCATTCTTCTTCTTCTTATTATTATTTATTAGGTTGTCTCTTTAGTAGATATTATATAAGGCTCGATTTACCGTATCGTTCTTGTTGATTGAATTCTTCATTAATTTATTTATAAACTCAACTGAATATAAAAATAATATATAGCATTTTGTGTTGTCTAATTTAGTTTATTTCAGAAAAAATGTTAGAAAATCCAATAAAGCAAAGATTCTTCAGCAACAGGGGGGTGAACCGAAGCCTGGAGCGAGTTGAGTGATGAAATTGTTTCAGTGGATTCAATCAACAATTTTAAAATCCAGCTAGGAGAGCTAGAATACTACTAGAACATTTATTTTTTAGTGGTCCTTACACAGATGCTAGTCTACTGAATCACTTTAAACTTTGTTATGTTGTGTTATGTTATCTGAAACTGTAGCTGATGAAGATTATATATTTAAAAAATTATCCGCTATACAATTTATCATTTTATGATTAAACTTATCGTCTGCTTGTGTCGTTTGCGGAGCCGATTTTGCTACAAATTTTTCTTCAGAATGTCGGCAGCGGTTGCTCAAAAGAAAGATGTCGGAACGGTTAGCTAAAATTTTAAATTTTTTCTTAAGAATTTTTTGTAAAATTTCGTCGCGTAAATGGCTAGATGCACATATATATGCGTGGTTATAATATAATGGTACAGACTACAGTACAAGATTATTTAATAATTTAATTAATTTTAAAATAAAAAATACCTCTTCTAGTCTAGTTACTACAAAAAATTTTTATTAAACGTTCTAGTGGTCAGAAACGTTTCCAGAGCAGATAAATACGTTGAAGGAGTCAGTAATGTTTATGAAACGTCTGCTTGGTGTTGCAATTTGTAACATAACTTACTTGAGAACAATGTTTCCCGGTGACGCCTACATTGACAAATCTTTAGAAGGTAGATGCACATGAAACAAGTTTTTGTGATTATCTTATAAAATTTAATTTATTTAACATTATTTAACTGCTCTCATTTTTTTCCTATTTATTATTTTGAAAGAAAAATTATAGAATGTTATTAATAATTTAATTAATAACATTCAACAATTTTTTTTTCAAAATTTTTTTAGATTAAAACATCAAATCACCTCATTAATTTTTACATAACTATTTCTTTCTCAGGTGTTCAGCTGAAAATCTTAAAAAGTTCAGATGCTTATCCTCAGGTTAACAATCTCATCAACTGCCTCAAAGGTGTTTTTGATGCTCTGGAAAAAAAATATGTAATACAAATTTTTTTAAATTTTAGTTAAATTTATTGTTTAATATAAAATAATTAATCTTTCAGCTCAGAAATTTGGTTCTTATGGTCAGTTTTGTTTTGTTTTTGTTTTTTTCTCATTGAACACATAAAATTTAGTCAAGTTAGTGATAAAAATAATGGCTATACAGATTCATCCAGATGTTCAAAATCTTGACAAGGTCTTGGACTCATATAACTTTCAGTTTACGTACAATGATGGTAACAAGATGTCAGTTACAAAGTGGGCTACATTTTTTATAATACATCAAAAATATTAATTGATCAACTAGCTTTGTTATTTTCTGTAACTTGTTCTTAGTTCCTTTATTGCTTGCCATAATTGAAATTAATAATTTTTACACTAAGTAAAAAGAAGAAAATAACTACAAAAATATCATGTGAGAGTACAAAAGAATCAACAGTGAGCATGTTACGTAGGTTGATTGTCATGTCTTCAACATTGGAACCACTTCCACCTGTCTTCTCCATCTCCATGAAACTCTACTATTATGACAATGGTTAATGAAACATTATTTACTTATATTTCAATTTTCAATAATTATAAATAGCTTGCACATACTGTCTTAAACTTTTGAACATTCACACGCACACGTCACAGTAACTCCAGCTGATTATGAACCACCTGGCTTTGAACCAAGCGATAAGGAGACATCCTTCCTGGACGATCCTGCCATTTTTGACATTGGCAACGTCTCTACTGTTAGTTTTAAAACATCATTTTGTTTATTTATTGAATTGAAGTGTATTCATTCATTTATTTGTAAATTATTTACTGCCAACTATAAATTTTTCAAATAATTTTGTTAAATTTATTAAGTTTTGTTTCAACTTACAACTTTTGCATAAGTATTTTGAAATGTATTTTCATCAAAAAAACCAAAAAAATTAATTCTATTTATAAATTTTTCCCATCAACAGATATACCACACGTAAGTTTGTTATGGAATTTTGTTTCAGTTCTCTTATATTCTAACAAACCACATTTTTTTAGACACCAGATCAAGACACTTGAAATAAAAATATCTTTTTCATTTATTCATTTTACCCTATTATTAATCTCTACTTTTTTAAATTCATTCAGACTTACCCTTCAATTGGCCACGTCAACAAAGGAAACAACACCATCAGTAGCATCAACGATAGCAGCGGCAGTGAAAAAGGTTAACATATCTGCGTCAATTGAGCAAAGTCTAAGCGCAACGTTGGCATTGGCAACATCATCAGCCTCGCCCACACATGCAAACGATCAGTCTTTAGTGTCTACAATGTCTAGCCATTATAATAACAACAACAACAATCAGCATCATCAGTTCTACAACCAGCACCATAATCCTGGAGGTTATGATTATCAACAACAACAACATAATGGTGACAATGATGACAGTGAACCATTGAACTGTTCAATGTCTCAAAAGAACCACAATCAGAGGACAGCTGATGATGATAAAGTTGTCAATGCTCCCAAACGCAAGGCTGATGAAGATGTGAGGATGAAAAATGATGAATTGGATGCAGCTGCTGTTGATGTTGAGGTATAGTTTTGATATTTTGTGTTAATTTTGAGTTTTTCTCAATGCAAGAAGTTGTTTTTATAATAATAAAGATTATTAACAATAATAAAATAGCTCACAAATATTTTTTCAACAGAAATTAGTTCTAAAGAATCCAAAAGAGAAGAAGCTTTCAAAAAGCAAGTACTTACAATTCGGACCTGGGGCAGGCAATAATGTAAAGTGGAGTTAATTTATGTAATTCATTCAGTAATTCATTCACTATATATAATTCACTCAGTAATTCATTCATTTACCATATATAATTCTCTAAGTAATTCATTAAGCCCTTACAATTCACTCAGTAATTTATTCGCTGTGCACAATTTATTCACCATATTATGCTAACCACAACTTATCTACCAACATACAGATAAAATATTTATAATTCTGGTTTCATCCTTTTCAACTAATTTTCATCATTCAAATTAATTGAATAATCCATTCATTTACGAATAATAATTCAACATCTCAATATCCACATACAGATGATCCAAGAAAAGTTGGCAGACAGTCATGGAAAGAGCAGAAGAGCTAGGAAATAAAGAAATGAACAGTCGATGATTATTCCATTAAATATCAAATGTTCAGTTATTTATTTAAATTACTACAATTTTCTGTTTGAAACTTTCAGTTATGCTATTTTGCAGCATTATTTTTAAAGTTTGACAGATGATGAATTATGTCACTGCTGTTAACGTTCAAAATGTTTTTCATGTCAAAAATTTTCATAAAGATATTGTATCTCTTTAATCATTTGTTTTACATTTAGATTCTAAAGTTATTAAATGCCGACTTAGAACTGTTTCAATGTTTACAAGTTTCTTATACAAACTCTTTATAGAGTTTAAGTTATTGCTCACACACACACATACACGTTGATGTCAAACAAAATTTGTTGCTATGGTACAATTTTAAATGTTTATAAATTGTTTATAGCGCTTAATAATTGTTTAAATTGTTGAATAAATGTCTGAACTTGTTTCATATACACCCGCAATTTGACTATCCTCAAATGAAAGCTCCATCCCAGTATTTGATTAATGGCAAATTGATTATAGTGGAGTATTAACTGGAAGTGGTTGTATTCACATTTAATTAGACAAGTTTCAAGAATAATAGTATTGATTCACTTCAGTATTTACACAGAAATATATATGTATATAATATACTTATACATACATACATAAATATAGCTTATGACAGTTTTACATCATACCTATAAATATATTTATCTATAAATAGCTGATAATAGTTGACATCGTATATCTATAAATATTGAAATTTCTAGTGAAATAGTGTTCACACATCAACATAAATTATAATTTTATATTAATAATATATATCAATAAATAATTGGAAAAATAATAAATCTTCATATATAACTAGTTTTACAAACAAGTAAATCTACATCTTAAACAAATTACCAAACCATATATATATATAAATATATATATAAATATATATATATATATATACGCACCTATACACACAGATTGTCTTAATCAAGAAAATTTCAGAATAAAAACAAAAATCCTTTGATATACTGACAAACGACACCAATCTTTTACGTGTATATATCAAAATAAATATAAAAACACAGAAATCTTGAAAGATGAATTTAAAATAAATAACATTTTGTCAATTTAAATATATATATATATATATATATATATATATATATATATATATATATATATATATATATATAAAACCTTACATCTCAATATGAAACTTGAGTCTTCTAAATACAAAGCAATTGTTACTAGCTGTTCAAATAAATACGTTTACATATGTATACATATTTATATATGGACATGCCTGTTTGCATAATATATATACATACAGAGATATACAAATATGCACATGCTTATTGATTATAATGCAAACGTAATACATATATCAAACTTGGTGAGACATGACATGGTGTACCACATCATGTTAACCTTTCAGCTTTTTCAATACATCACTACCAATGATATTTACAAAGTCAACACCATTATCAACAAAATTATCATCAGTAAATGTACACAAATACAAAGTTTATCAATGTTTAAAACACAAAATAAAGTAAGCCCCAACCACATATATCAATATAACAGTAGATAGATAAATCAGTGATCCAATGACTTAAAATTGATTGACATATCTTGCTTGACTTGAAAAAAAACATACACACATTCACACGCATACAAACATGCACACAAAACTACTAATGCTATTGTATTATATTGTGATTCAATTTCATATGTTCCTTCAGTGAAACCTTATAAGCATACTCCTTCTGGCAAACAGGACAGCAATACTCTGTTTGCATTAGATGCTTGCTAGTCATGTGACCTCGATGACTTCGCTGATTCCAGAAGCCCTTGCCACAAATTAGGCATTTGAATGGATGTGGCCGCCTATTGTGTGCACTGTTCTCGTGGTGGATTAATGCAGATGAATAAGCAAACAGTTTGTTACAAATCTGGCAGACGTATTTTGTTTTAGTCCCAGATATTATCTTTTTCATTTTCTGGCGCCGACCATAAATAACCTGAAAAGATCATTTTATATGATAATAAAGATTCGTTAAAGAATTTTTAAAGTTTGCAAATTAAGTCAGATAATTGAAAAAAATTATACACTGAATTTATAGAATAATTTTAAATATGAATTTTTCAAAGTTTAGACAAAAAATATTAAAATCATGTGACTGAATTAAGCTAACAGGTAAATCAGGTTGAGACTGGTTGCCAACACTTCTATTCAATGCAGGATTTGTTATAAAGTTTAAGTAATCATCGGTACTATTCAGAGGATTATACACCTGAGATCCATCGATACTGGAGGAAGAGGGTTTATAGCTGTTATTCTCGTCTAAAATTATATCAGATTCATTCTTAATGCTTATCATTTCATTAAAATTCCCATCATTTGTGGAGCTATTGATGAACGAATTAGTGTGATTAGTGAAATCATCATGATGAGTTTGTTGCTGCTGCTCTGCTGTTGGCTCGGTTTCATTAAAGTAACATTCAATATCTGTGGGAAGGGACTGCTTGTAATTTATGTTGCTATTGTTATTACTGTTGTTATTAGTGTTCTTAATTGGACTAGCATCAATTTTATCTTGTAAATTAAACTGATTGGACGAGCCGTTATTGTTGTTATTGGATGGACAAGATGATGAGATCATTTTCAGTCTGCCACTGCTACTGCTGAACTGGTTCTGTTGCATTTCATCTATGGAGTTATTTTGATTTTTTTGACTTGGCGTGTTTTCATTGTTGAAGTTGAAGGTTTCGTTGATGCTGACGAGGAAGATCTCTTCTTTATCTATAGTAATACCGATTAGGCCCTGTATTGAAAATTCCGTACGATAGTGCAGGCCATTTTTGCACAACATCGTTATCGTCTCCGTAACTAGCGACTTAACTCTTTCCTGATCAGCCTTGTAAACCATTTTCTGTTTTTAAACTGCAAAATCAAGATAAAAATAATATTTTTTTATTTATCTGACGATAGATTTGTTTATTTGCGAAAAAAATAATAATACAATCAAAAGTGAAATCTTTTTATTATCGCTCACAAAATAAGCATAATTCGGTTAATATCTGCAATGAATTATCTATGGTATGGTAATTATGGACAACAAAAATGTTGATTTATGGTCAGTTTGATTGTGAGAGCATGTATTATTCATCATTTGATTTTAAATGACCTTTTTGAAATTTTTCAGGTCAAAAGTTTAATTTCAAAGTAAAATTCATCTAATTATTGATACTTTTTTAAAATATAAATAACACCTTCACAAATTACTTGAATATAAATACTCCTTCCGTACTTTTGTTAAGAAAATATCTCTATTTATCGATAAAACACATAACAAACATTTAAATAATAACATTATGAACTGTAAATACATAATGCTCTGTACTTGCCATTCCTGGAGTATTGTGTATTTTTGTAAATTTACTTCTAAGCTAAAGAAACCATACAAATTCGACTTTTAGAGATCAATCAGTCACACGAAATCGTTTGAAACTTTTAAATTGTAAAAATTAAACAAAACATTAAGCATCTTATAGTTGAAAGGTTGCAATAGTTTTCATTTTCGATTGTAATCTCAGCAGAAATAAAATTGTTAACTCTGACCAGGTGAAGTCAAAATCTTGCGCGTACCTTACCCACGATAATGCCTACTATAAACATGGTATGTAATATCCTACTATTTAAAAAAATGATTGCATCCAAAATAGCATAAGGCGGTGTTGCAGTGTAATGGTTAAGGTATCGGGCAATGATGTTGCAGCAAGTGAGTTCGATTACAAAGAAAGAGTTCTCCGCCCATAAATTGCTGTGTGTATGATGTTTCTGAAAAATTATAAAGAGAGAAATGCAGAGCCACAACTTCACATTCCAACTTTACTGCAATGCTTAGCCACACCACTTAATTCATTTTAAAAAAAATAACACTCAGACAAGTTGTCAATCCCTCTTTCACTAATTTATCTTACATTCATTCATTTATTTAATGGTTTATTTATACATTCGTCTAATCATTCATTCATTCATTCATTCATTCATTCATTCATTCATTCGTATTATACACATTAACAAAGGCATATCAAAATATTTTTTCACTCTTATCATTCGGCATCTATTTCATAGCTTTCACGTGAGTGATTATTATCATATCAAATAAAAATATATATGATTTATTATTATTATTATTATTATTATTATATTATTATTATTATTATTATTATTATTATTATTATTATTATAAAATATTTCCTTCAACAATCATTTATGATTTTATACGGTGAAATTATTTTCAAATTAAGATACAATCATCATAAGAATCCTCACCGTATAGTAACTACAACAATAATAACAAAAACATTTATAATAATAATAATAATAATAATAATAATAATAATAATAATAATAATAATAATAATAATAATGGTAATAATAATAATAATAATGACACAATTATAGCCATAATAAATTAATTATTAATCATAATAAAATTTAATCCAATCTACGTGCACGTCTGTCGCGATAGCAGTGACGCTGTCGTCAGAGCTCAATTAAAGAACGATTTAATTGCTACAAAAATATAATAATAATAATTATTATTATTATTATATAATTATAAAATTATTTTTGTTTGTTATTATAGTTAATATAATGTATTATTATTATTTATTGTTGTTTTTTTTCATGTTTTTTTATTGATTCCTAGTTTATCATATTTCATTCAATTATTCAGTGTTAGTTTTTACAATTTTATAAAAATATATAAATTTGTGTGTGTGTGTGAGTGTGTATGTGTGTTAGTTTGTGTATGTGCATATACAATGTATTTATATTCATGATTTTTAAATATTTTCTTAAGATAAAAAGGTCTTTTGTAACGAATGTCAGTCATTCAAATTCACATATTCATTCATTCAGTTAGTTCATTCATCCAGTCAATCATTCCGTCATTCAATCATTTAGTAGTCGAACGTTCATACGTTCGTTTGTTCGTTCTTTCGTACTGTTTGCCCTTGCCATTTAATAAATAAATAGTAATAATAATAATAATAATAACAAAAACAACAATCAAATTATTATTATTGTTATTTATTACTAATCTTGCAGTACAACAATTTGCGTGTGTGTGTGGGTTTAAATTGTATTTAACTCAACTAGAGACGCATATATATATATATATATATATATATATATATATATATATATATATATATATATATCGGTAAAAGACCATAATTAATGCAGTAATTTATGAAATCTACCGACTTTACAACATTGAATAGAAGCCTGGGATATATATATATATATAGGATATATCCTATATATATATATATATATATATATATATATATGTGTGTGTGTGTGTGTGTGTGTGTGTGTGTGTGTGTGTGTGTGTGTGTGTGTGTGTGTGTGTGTGTGTGTGTGTGTGTGTGTATGTGTGTGGCAACATTTCGTATAAAAATAAATCAAAATCTATTTAATACTATTTGAATTGTGGGATATAAATGATTAGCCCGATAAACACACAAACATGATTTGAAACGCACACTTTTTGAGATTTAATTCGGCTGCTGAAACAAACAAACTCCTTCGTGTGAAATACACAAAAGATATACAATACACACAAGTCGAACCATAACGCCAACTTATACAAATATAATGTGACACAGAAATATACAAATGATAATATACATGGATAAAAAAACCAGCACCACACACACACATACACACACACACACACATATACACTTACAAGTAAATTTATGACGTCAACGACGTTGTTTTTGTTGTTATAAAAATTTGCCGGCATCCAGCTGAGAAAATGCTCATGCAATTTGAACTGCCTACATCAACAGCAATAATAGTAGTAGTAGTAGTTGTAGTTATAGTAGTAATTGTTGTTGTAGTTATAGTAGTAGTAGTTGTTGTTGTTGTTGTAGTTATAGTAGTAGTGGTAGTTGTAGTAGCAGTTAGTAGTAGTAGTTGTTGTAGTAGTTAGTAGTAGTAGCTGAAGCCAGAGCAATAATAATAAAATTCACATTTGAAGATTTGGTTGGACTGGTACGTATGTGTATATTGTATACATTTTATACAAATGAATGTTAAAAATGAATGACTGAAAACGGAGAAAAATGAATAAATAAAAATAAATGACAGAATGAATGAATGAGTGAAAGAGTAGAAATGAATGAATAAATGAATAATAATAAAACACGCTAACTAATTGTAAGAAAATTGTGGATGAACAAATGAATGAATAGATGAATGAGTGATCAAAGAAACGAATTGACGAGTGAGTGAGTAAACGAACGAATGAATGAAAATGTGTGAGTGAGTGAGTGAGTGAGCGAGTGAGTGAGTGAGTGAGCAAGTAAGTGAGTGAGTGAGTGAGTGAGCAAGTAAGTGAGTGAGTGAGTGAATGAATGAATGAATGAATGAATGAATGAATGAATGAATGAATGAATGAATGAATGAATGAATGAATGAATGAATGAATGAACGGCTAGCCAGGTTCACCCAAGCGTGAACATGCCAGAGAGTACAGCTAGATAATTGCTTGTGTGTTTGATTAGAAAATAATAACAGTAATAATGAGAATAATAACAATAATAATAATTAGAAGGGTCAAACAATAATAATAATAATAAATAATCTTCACTGTAATAAAAATACGAAATTTAATATTACAAGCAGCAGAGCTGTTTGAAAAATAAGATGTATGTAAAAGTTTCATGATGTTATCACACACGTACACTGTACAATAAAGTTGTTGTGTGTTGGTGTTGCTCTGTTGCAAGAATGTTGTGATAATTTGAATGTAATAATGTTTATGCAACAGACGCAGCTGCAGCAGCTGCAACAATCGCAGCTGCAACAACAACAATAATTCTGTGTGAACTGAGTCATACCTACGCTCAGTGTTCACCGATGCATTTTAGTACCTATGACTGTCCGTCGGTGTATCTGTCTGGAAGCTTGTCTATGCTTGTCTTTGTATTTCTTTGGGACTATCTATCTTGTTTATTTATTTGTACCTATTAATGTATATCTATTCGTTTAGATAAGCGTCTGTCGACCTGTCTATCTATTTTGTTTGTTTATTTTGTATCTATGTCTATCTTTTTGTCTGAAAGACTGTCTCTGTATCAGCGTGTCTGGATGTAATTTTGTATGTTTAAATGTTTGTCTGGATATGTGTCCTTATGTCTGGATGTTTATTTTTTGCCTGCCAGAAATTTATCAAAGTCTAAATACCCGAAACGTTTTATAAAATGCAACGATTATCAAGGTAGATAACTACATCATCAACATCATCATCAAGGTAGATAGCTATATCATTAACATCATCATCAGCAACTCGAACCTATGCTGAATATTGCACTGTAGAAAGAAAAAAATTGGCATACGTCCGATGAATAGTGGGGGAAACAAAGTAAAAATTGATTGAAAATTATTTTGAAATAATTAAAAAATTGGTAATGTGTATGCATTTCTGTGTTTGTATGTGTATGGGATATGAATGAATGAGTGAGTGATTGAGTGAGTGAGTAAGTGAATGAGTGAATGAATGAATGAACGAACGAACGAACGAACGAACGAACGAACAAACGAATGAACGAACGAATGAATGAATGAATGAATGAATGAATGAATGAATGAATGAATGAATGAATGAATGAATGAATGAATGAATGAATGAATGAATGAATGAATGAATGAATGAATGAATGAATGAATGAATGAATGAATGAATGAATGAATGAATGAATGAATGAATGAATGAATGAATGAATGAATGAATGAATGAATGAATGAATGAATGAATGAATGAATGAATGAATGAATGAATGAATGAATGAATGAATGAATGAATGAATGAATGAATGAATGAATGAATGAATGAATGAATGAATGAATGAATGAATGAATGAATGAATTTTAACAACACAGTGAACGTAGGCATTTGCGAAAAAATTTATCATCACCACAACCACCGACTGACTAATATAATTATTAATAATAAAATTATTATTATTATTACTATTATTATTATTATCATTATTATTATTATTTTTACTATTATTATTATTATTTTTACTACTACTATTATTATTAGCTAAGCCAGTTATTGAATGCCGAATGTTCTGCTTACCCTATTATGAGT